CTGATGATACCTTACAAGGTTGAAACGATGGTCTGGGGTTGTTGTATCGCTCATGCAGAGGGAACTTGCTGGTATTTCGGATCTGGACCGCCCGTATGGGTGGGACTAGTCTGATATGCTTCAAATATGTTCTCTCTGTAATGGCACGAGATGAGCTAAAACTAGCTTGAGATCTTAGCGGGGACCTACCGAAGGGCAGGCTAATTGAGCTGTTGTCCGTTCTCACCTCTCTTGCTACTATTTTTCCTCTAATAAATTTATCATGTTAAAAAATAAAACATTTTATCTCAATTTTGGTCTATAATATATTTTTATTGAGTCATGTTTAGTAAGATGAAACCTTCATCTTTTCAGAATGTGAAAGGTGGGAAAATAGAATGATGTGGATCAGCAAAATTATAACTGCTTTTAGCTATATTTGAGCAGAAATTGTTGCTTTAGAAACAAGCATACACAGTTTTTTGTTTTTTTTAATCTACGAAGGTACAGCTTTAGTAACAGTGATACTGAAACATTATTCTGAGTCTGCAAAAGATTATGCTACCTTTCAATGTGTAGCTATCATAGTCTGTTATGTAAACCACCACAAGTTATTTGGACCTATTTATGTTTTTGGTCATTTAAAATAATAGGAATAGCACAAACAAATAAAAATAACACTTTCTTTTTCTCTTGGTAAATTCAAATGTTTCATATCTAGTTAATAGTACAAAGTATGTAATATAATATATAATCCCTGACTGTTAAATATTGTTACACAACTGATTAACCCCTTAAGGATGGAGCCAATTGTACATATTTTGATCAAAACAAACAAAACCTAGAATTTGCACTATATTTTCATCAACTATAATTCCCCTCTTTCATATTAAGTGCACCGACACTACATATACATACATACATACATACATGTTAAGGAGAAACAAGGCTTTCATTCCATATCATATATTTATATATCAAACATAATTGAATGTAAATAAAATATAAAAAAGTGAGAGAAATTAAGATATTTTTAAAAATGTTCTGCATGACATTTTAACTGTGAATGTCACGATAATGTTATATTTTACTGCAATACAACACACATTTGTATTTAGCAATGTCTCATGTACAGGTTTTATGAATTTTTGGAAACTTACAGGGGTCAAATATAGGGCTTTCCCCTTTTCCATTTTTGCACATTAAAATTTGCCAGATTGGTTTGCTGGGCCTATGTTGCCTTTGAGACCTTATGGTCAGTGGCGTACATACCAGGGTCGCAGGTGTCGCGGCTGCGACTGGGCCCGGCCGCCCCTGCGACCCGGTATGCACCCACAGGGCCAGCCTCTTCCCCTGGGGGGCCCAGGAGGCGGCCACCTCAGGGCCACCCGAGGCTGGCCCTGCTGACCCGAGCGGGCGGGCTGTCTGGGTGGCCGGTGCGCGTGGGAGCACTCTCCTCTGTGCTTCCTCTTCAGCTCCCTTGTGCACCGCACTGATACCGGAGCCGGAAGATGACGTAATCTTCCGGCGCCAGCATCCCTATGCGGCGCGCGAGGGAGCTGAAGAGGAAGCACAGAGGAGAGTGCTCCCTCGCACACCGGCCACCCAGAAAGCCCGCCCAGCAGCACCACTGGACCCCAGGGAATTCCCTCAGCTCTCCAAAAGGTAAGGAGGCTTGGGGGATTAAATAAAAAAAAAAAAAAAATGTGTGTGTGTCTTCGTGTTAGTGTGTGTCAGTGAGTGTGTCTGTTACTGAGTGTGTATGTATGTCTGTTGCTGAGTGTGTCTCTGTCAGTAAATGTGTGCGTCTGTTAGCTAGTGTGTATGCGTCTGTGAGTGAGAGTGAGAGTGAGAGTGAGAGTGAGAGTGTGTGTGTGTGTGTCTTCAGCATTTACCTTTCTCCAGTGTCGGACTCCCTTGGCGCTGGGGATCCCTCCGCCTCTCAGCTCCGAATGCACATGCGTGCATTTAAACTGTGCGTAGGAAAGCATTACTCAATGCTTTCCTATGGACGTTCATGGTCTTCCCCCTGTGATTTTCGGAAGCTCCTCTAGCAGCTGTCAATGAGACAGCCACCAGAGGCTGGATTAACCCTCAGTGAAACATAGCCGGTTCTCTGAAACTGCTATGTTTTCAGCTGCAGGGTTAAAACTAGAGGGACCTGGCACCCAGACCACTTCATTGAGCTGATGTGATCTGGTTGTCTGTAGTGGTCCTTTAAGTGTGTGTGCATATCGCGGTCACGGGGTCGCAGCCCTGCGACCAGATGCCCGCCACCATGTGTTGCGGCCCCGACCCGCGCCGAGTAAGCACGGGGAGGGGCCCCCACGGATTAATTTTCGCACCGGGGCCCCATGGGTCATGTGTACGCCACTGCTTATGGTAGGCCATGATTGAAAATTAACCCCATCTTGGCATAATATTTGTAAAATTAGACAACTCAGGATATTCAAAATGGGGTATGTCCTGTCTTTTTTTAGTAGTCATTTAGTCACAAACTCTAGCCAAAGTTAGCGTTTATATTATTTTTTTGCATTTTTCACAAATAAACTACCCTTTCACCGATGATATAATTAAGATTATACATTTTACTACTCTAAAACACTTATATTTCTAAAGTAATGTCTCATGAGTACAACAGTACCCTCATGTACAAGTTTTATGGTGTTTTGGAAAGTTACAAATATAAGATTTGCCAATTTCTGTTTTTGCAAATTGAAATTTGCCAGATTGGCTATGTTGCCTTTGATACGGTATGGCAGCCCAGAAACGAGAATTAAGGCATGGTGTGGAAAAAAATTGTAATTGAAAACCCCTTCCACCTGAAGTCTGTGGAAGGGGTAAGTTTAACTCCTTCCACCCCCTAGAACCTGGCGGGAGTGGGACCCTGAGGGTGGGGGCACCCTCAGGGCACTATAGTGCCAGGAAAACTAGTATGTTTTCCTGGCACTATAGTGGTCCTTTAAGGATGACAGCTTTGTGTCAATTCAATACTGCTGTAATTCTACTGAGAAACAATGAATCATTCAGCCTGCCAAACCAATTGGAATGATCTATGAAATAGTCATATCTAAAAAATATGCACATATAATTAACCGATAGGGAAATATTTTCTTTAAGGAAATACATAAGACATGTCTTCTATAACTATTTTAATAATGAATGTCACTGCTGGTTCTTGTAGTGTTTAAACATTTTTCTCTTGTGGGTTATAAAATAAGGAAGGAAAGACTGCATTGCCAATTTCCATTTTATCGCTTGCATTGTATGTGTTAATAAGCTTTCTCTCGTTTGCTTTCTCACATCACTTAAGTTGAGACGTAGCAACTGAACAAAATTGGTGTACTTACATCAGATAATAGTGGCAAGGATGTTGTAGTTTTGAAAAGTTTTGCAACTGTATTTTTGTTGAGAAGAAAAAAAAAATGATACCTTTTTATTACAAAAGGATTCTTTGCAACAAATTAAGAATGACACAGCTCAGAATGTGTCATAATTCTCACCTGTAAGAAGTTCAAACGTAACTTTTAACATTAAGAACTAGAAAAATGGGGGCGTGGCCTGGAGCTCGATCGGCATGGACGCACACATGTGAAGCTCCTGCAGCACTGGGGACGGAGCACAAATAAATTGACTACAGAGCATAAAATAAAAGGTACATACAGAGCCACAATGTCCCAGAGGCAGAGACAAAAAGCTGCCAAAGCAGAACGAGTGTCCTTTTTTATGGCCAGATCCGCCGCGAAGAAACCGCGGGAAACCGGCGGCCTAGTCCAAGATGGCGGCGGAGATCGCTCCCGCGAGGGATCCATCTCACCTACGACATCTATCACCTCCCTAACAGAGGAACAGCCCCTTACCACAACCTCAATGAGGCTCATGCTGGCCGAACTAGCTGACAACTTCCAGGCTACTATGAAGAAACAACTGCAAAGCCTGGCAACAGAGTTAAGGAAAGATGTTGCAGACATAGGCCAGCGCACAGCCCAAATAGAGCAGAAACTGGATGACTGCACAGATGCCCACAACTACCTGACTGAAAAAGTGCAGGACTATGAAACACACGTGATACTTAACACAGAAATGGGGCTCCTTAAACTCAAGGACTGGGGCATACAAGTCGCGGAGGAGATGAAACAACACCGCCACAAAATCCCCAGAGTAACAAGAGACTGGTCAACCGCCTGAACAGCGCAGACACCTCTTGCCTCCAGAAGGTGACAAGCGGTTACCGACCCATGAGTATACCGCTAGAGACTTATGACGACAAGCGTGTGAGTTTAAAGTAACAAATGTATTCATTATGTTCCCCCTTTGGTTGTTACACCCACATTACCAATTATATGTGCCCAAAGTTACAGGTTCAGGGGTTGGTTCACAGGCGCTACACTCTAGGGCCAACACATTGGAAGGCCACTGGATTAAAATCCTGGAAGGCGCCCACTATATTACCGTTGCAACGCTGTGATCCCACTGCTGCAGCCACGCTCGTACACCCACCCCCCAACGATTGTGACCGGGATTCTCCCGGCGCATCTGGGCTCCCCGAGACGGAGTCCTTTAAAGCGTACTGCCTGTTTGTCCTACACCCCCTATGTTTTTCTTATCTCCTAATGTCCACTACCCCATGTCCCACAAAGAATCAAAAGACACCAACCACCGCCCCGTAACCACGCCGACCCGAAGGCAACCAAACTAAATACCACTACACATATGACCACGACTAGATTCAGAGAACACATAGAACACCGTTATGAAATTAGTCACCTACAACACCCCTGGTAAACGGAGGCTACTACTTAAAGACCTCATGAAAAACCAGATCGATATAGCATGTATCCAGGAAACACACTTTAGGGACGACCACACCCCGGCAATATACACGAAGGTGTACCCCACTCAGTTCCACTCCCAGGCCGCTACCAAATCAAGGGGGGTAACAGTCCTTATTCACAAAGGGTATAGACCCGAAAGGCAGATATATCATACTAGTGGGCCAGTTTAACAGCATCCAACTTACGCTGATAGCCACATACTTCCCCAACGAGAAACAGGGACAATACCTGCAAATGTTGCTTAACAAAATTGACAGGATTAAACAAGGCAACATAATCCTACGCGGGGACTTTAATTGCACCCAGTCGCCCACACTAGATACGACAGCCACCCTCACAGGTAACAGTAAAAAGAGAATAGCCACTACCAGCAAACTATTCACCAAGTTGATAGACGATTATGACCTATACGATGCATGGAGGGCACTAAACCCAGAGGAAAGGGACTACACCTTCCACTCAAAGGTTCATAACACATACACACGCATAGACGCAGTCTTCCTGGATAGGCCACTCCTGGCACAACTCAAGGAATGTACAATAGGGGAAGTAACATGGTCAGACCATGGACCGGTGTACCTAGATCTCCTTGATGCCTACCAATTCAAGGGGAGGGGGACGTGGCGACTGAACGACTCACTTTTACTGAACTCAACCTTTGTGCGGGAGAGTAGGGAAGCACTCCAAAACTATTTTACAACTAATGTAGGAGAGGGGGTCTCTGATACTACAGTATGGTCAGCGCACAAAGCAGTCATGAGAGGGGTATTCATCAGAAGGGCATCCTTCCTGAAACCGCACCACCAAACCACACTCCTAGACTGTCACAAACAAATGGTATCCAAAATAAAACAAACAACAACAACCACCCTCCCCAGCACTAGCAGCACAACTACAAAAGCTGCACTCAAGACTAAACGAACTAAACACAGAAAAAACAAAATCTTTACTCTATAAATTAAAAGCCAATGTCTACCACAATGGAGGTAAAGCTAGTAAGTATTTGGCCTATAGACTAAGCCAGATATGCCAACACAAAAATCACCAGAATCACAGGGGCAGACGGCAAACTACACCACACGCCAGCGGACATCAGCAAAGAATTTGCTGAATTCTACTCCAGACTATAAAATCTACGATCACTAGCCACCACACACAGGGCAAGCTACGCAGACATAGACGAATATCTGAGACAAACCAATCTCCCCCAAATATCTCAAACCCAAAAAACAAATCTGACAAAACCCATAGAAATACAGGAAATCCTGAAGGTAATAGCGGGCCTCCCTAACGGAAAATCCCCAGGGGCAGACTGCCTCACTAATGCCTACTGTAAACTCTTTGCCAATGAACTTGCCCCACATCTACGACGAGTGTATCATGCAGCCTCGAACTCAGGAACACTACCACCGGAGATGCTACTGGCCACAATTGTCACACTCCCCAAACCAGGACAGACACCAGATAAATGCCCAAACTATCGCCCGATCTCACTGCTTAATACTGATGCCAAAATATACGCTAAAATACTAGCCAACAGACTCAGAGACATGCTACCCGATCTCATAGGGGGATGACCAGACCGGGTTTGTGACAGGTAGACAGGGACTAGACAATACTAGCAAACTGACACTACTACTAGAGGGCCTACAGAGACATAGGAAAGGAGGAATGTTACTAGCCCTGGACGCAGAAAAAGCTTTTGATCGCCTTAGCTGGACTTTCCTAGACAGAACCCTAAGAGCGTATGGACTCCCTCAAACAACGATAAACCAAATATTCGCTCTATACTCCGCCCCGGCAGCACAAGTCCTTCAATCAGGATTCAAATCCAATCCCTTTGCCGTCTCTAATGGGACGAGACAGGGTTGCCCACTCTCCCCTCTAATATATGTGTTGGCACTTGAACCCCTTCTTCGCACTATCAGGGCCCACCCCGAGATTAAGGGTATTAAAGTAAAGAACACCGAATACAAAATCAGTGCCTTTGCAGATGATGACGTTTTACTCTATGTAACACAACCCCAGGACTCATTACCTCACATAATGTAGGCAATCAGAACATACGGTCACCTATCGTACTACTTCCATACGGAACGAGTGACAGCACTGAAAATGTCCATACTCCCCAGGCTACAATATATTTTTAGAACATTGCCCATAAGGATTCCCCAAACATACTTTAAAACAATCCAAAGAGACGTCAATGCCTTCATATGGGAAGGAAAGAAACCACGAGTAGCGAGGAAACTGCTAACAGCTCCGCAGAGAGCAGGCGGCCTAGCAGTTCCAGACATACGTGCCTATTATCATGGCTCCATATTAGCAGCGGCATTGCCACACCTAATAGATCAACCACCCCCACAGTGGGTGACACTGGAACAACACCTGATGGAACCATACAAACTATCACATGTAATATGGCTCCCCAAAACACTTAGACCATCAATGGTAGACACCCCTGCACAGATCAACTTACTCCTAAAGATCTGGGACACACACAGGAACAAACTAAGCTCGAACCTCCACGTCTCACAAGCCACACCAATACGGGCACTGACATACTGCATACCTACATTCCATGCAGCACCATGGCACGATAGAGGGTTCACGACCTTAGCACATGCCCATACAGGGAAAACGCTCACAGACTTCAACACACTAAAACAAACATATGACATTTCGAATAACACACTTTTCATTCAGGCAACTAGCATCATTCCTACATAAACACAACCCTACAGATAGCACACAGCACGACCCAAGTCCACCAATACACACCCTTTGGGAAGACATTGGCATCAAGCGTAGACTCCCAAAGATATACAGACCATTATCATCCTGTTATAAACAAATTTCACAATACACACCACTAGCAGAAGCCCCACTGGCGATACAATGGGGGAGAGAGCTGGGCACAGACTTAACCAAACAACAACAATGGGAAGATCTAGTGACCTCCCCTAGAAAACTGATAAAAACAGGGACACTCATAGAGCAACATATGAAGATGGTATACATGTGGTACTTAGTCCCCGAAAAGATACATAAACTCTACCCATCCAGCCCACCAGAATGCTGGAGATGCACTGAGCACATAGGCACAACAGTACACGCCTGGTGGCACTGCCCACTGATACAGCCCTTCTGGAAAGCAGTCCAGAAGGTACTTAAGGAAATCTCACTCGACGAGCCACAATACGAACCAAGCACGTACCTCTTGCTTGTGCTCCCCCCCAAGACACCGCATTTTATAAAGAAACTTGTATACCATCTCCTACTCACTGCCCAACGCGCAGTCGCAAGGGCATGGAAAACTCACGCTACTCCGCCTTTAGAATCAGTCCTAGCAGAAATAGATAACCAAAAAATCTATGAGAAACAATTCCATACAGTATGCCCCCCAAATGAAACGACACTGGCTTCCTGGGAGAGGTGGGAGACATGGAGACGGGAGCACACACCATAACGACTACCTACCACATCCCTCCTGTAACACAGAGTGACTGGGAGAGAGAAAATATGGAGGGCTGGGTATATAGATAGAGGATACTGGTCTAGACACAACGAGGTCACTAAAATCAAAAATACAGAAACGTACCACATAGACTCATACCAGAATAAGGCATTGTTGGAAACATGAGTAACTATGTAACGGCTTGGTGTAACTACTAGATGGAATGGCTTGATTGATGCTTACCCCCTCCCCCCCCTCCTTTTCTTCTGTACCCCTTCCCCATCACCCAGTCCTCTTTGAACAGTATGTGAAAACAATAACAATTGTCAAAAAAAAAACAAAAAACAAAAAAAAAAAATGTTAGTTTGAAATAAGAGGAAATCTAAAACAAAAATGCTAGTGCTCATATTGTCTAACCATTAATATGGTCACCAGGCCATCAGACAACTTGGTGGGTGTTTTATAGGAACATGTAACTTGGTTGCCTATCAAGTGTATTCACCTGTTTTATTATTTGTAGGACTTCACTTGATCTTTTATCTTTCCTCTTTTCCTATTCGCTCTTTTTGTTTCTGTAGCTTTCTATTCTGCTCCTCTCCTTAGTTCTCTACTCTGCCAGGGGCTTAAACATACCTGAGAAGAGAATCCCCTCTTTCTGCGGGCCCTCCACGCCTGCAAGGAGTCTGGGTTTTTCATACAAGAGACTCATTTCAGAGAGTGTGACCCTTCATGTCCTCCCCAGACTTCCTGAATTGCAAACAGATTTCTGCAAATTGCATTGTGAGAGCTGGCTGCATGGGTGCAATTGGCCAGCACCCTTCAGGCCAGAAGGAAGTTAAGGTCCATCTTTTCTCTGTATTTTCATCCCCACTCTCTTTTCCTATTTCCCCACTTGTTCCTCTCTTTTCTGCCAGCGCTTGGGTCATAAATTCATTTCTTCATGGAGGTAACTTTTAGACACTTGGATTAACCTTTTATTGTACTTGTAGCCTTTAGCCACTACTCTCTTGGGAAGTTTGGGAGATTGTATGAGAGAAGAGAGACGGAATTCTACTTTGAATTTCAGAGAAAGGTTATGATAGGAACTGCACTTATTGTCAATGCCGCTTGACACTAATTGTACACTATTTTCCTACCACAGCATGTACTTGTATCTGTGTTACAAAATACTGTTTTATTATCCCAGTTAATTCCCCTGGGTTCGGTAAATGAATCTACCGAACACCGACCACCCACTGGCTCATTAACTTCAAAGAAACCACAAACGTAAGTGATCTCCTTTGTGGCCACCATTCGTATAACTGAACAACACGTGCCAAAGAAAACCGCAGCCATCTTGTTGCATGAATGCAGGCAGCGGGACTTTGTCATTGAGTGTCTGGAACTACAAGTCGAAAACACTCGACCTCGCGAATACCAGTGATTTTACATGAACGCCTGCTTTTTTTTTTTTTACCAACAAGACAGGAAAGCGCAGTTCGGTAGGATTGTTTACATGAACAAGGCGAACAATCGCTACCTATGAGCCAGGGGAACCGTTTGACATTTATTTTGGTACTAAACTCCCAAAACTGACCGACCTCTACCATTATTTCTCTGAAACCAATTTGGGCAGATTCCACATGTGCGGTTGGTCAAAAAAAAAACAAAAAAAAAAACACAAACACACACCATTACCCAAGTGGCGATTCGGCTGTGTTTGTGGGATCTGAGTGATATTTGGACAACCTGGGGTGCTCAGATCCAGGCTATCTGGGAATATAATGCTTGTGGGGGCCTCAGATATATATTATGTGTATTTTTAATATTTTATGTTTTAAACTTTGTAATTCTAGTGCCTGGGAGATAATTAGTTTAAGCAAAGTACACTAAATTATCTCCCAGACACAGATTCTGGGGCGTGTTTTGGGCTTGTTTTACAATGCTTTTGCTTGAGACCCCATGCTGGGTGTCTGCGTATACAAGTTGGCCATTTGTCCAGTTGTACCCTTCATCAATTCTCAACTGATGTTTAGGTATGTGAATGACTAACCGATTTATTTATTCTCACGACCAGCTTGGATTTCGGGAAAGTACTAACCAGCGTACTATGTGAACAGGCTATAATCACTAAGCCTTTAACATTTCGGGAGTGTGCAAACGAACGTACTTCATGAAGTACAGGAGGTTCGTTACACTGTGTTATACTTATTGATTCTATTTATTTTTCATCTTTGATCCAATAAACATTTATTGAACATTAAAGTTTACGTATTCAGCTTCAAATCAATTAAACAATATTTATCAGACTTGTGCAGTCTGTTTGAAATGAATGGTGATTCATCCGAAATTTTAAAAAATAAATCTTAAATTTCATAACTCTGAAGTGCAATATGACCAAAACATGAAACAACCGCAATGGATGAGCCATTTCACTTGTTTTGTTCCATTTGTGGTGTTAAAAAAAGAAAGGTGTTTGATGAAAAAAAAGTATGCTTAGAGTACAGCGACTAAATGTTGATTTAGGGGTGGATTAGCAGCAGTCCATGATTTCAAACCTTCTACCCAGCATGCAATTTACTAAGGGTGGTAGAGTGGGAAAATGGTAACAAATTGAGATGCACCTGGTGGAGGACCCTTTGTTGGTTATTCTTTGGATTCCAAAGGCAGGGAACTATGGGATGCACAACCTTACATTCCTTTTTATTAGAATTTAAATGCCAAACACTATATATATATATATATTATTTTTTATTTTTTTTTCCCTCCATTCCTCAAAAACCTTACTGTCACAAAATTCTACTCTATTGAGTGGATTTACACAGTTGAGGCCCTAAACACAATATATACATTTCTTATTTGGGTACTCTAATATGTACACATCCATTCAGCCAGCAGAGGGCGCAAGTAACAATAAATCGTTTGTATTTCAATTGCTACCATCACAAGCCCCTTTCAGGAGCTCTTGCGACCAGACCCATTGTCTTTGGGCAAGAGACTGGCCTTCAAGCCTCTCCAAAAGGCCTTGGCATGAGAACTTCTGTCACAGTGTGATTGCGCACTTCTACATCCCTTCTGTCCCAATCTTCATGACATGTTAAAGCAGTATTCTGATACCACCACATCTGGCACTAGCTCCCTTTCTTCTCCATCATACTACGCCAACATCTCTGTACAAGAACTTGCTTACATTTTGCATTTTTAATGTTGCAAACAATTCATTCCCTTTTCTGGAGACAAGAAAATGACCCTCCCTCCTACTTAAATGTTTGGTTCATCAAAACAGGAAACAGCACCACTCTATTGAGGAGCTCATCCTTCGTTCATCAGACAGAATGCTGCAATAAACAGCAATCTTGGCTCGGTGGCATGTAACTATTTTCAGTGAGGGTACAAGCTCACAGTACATTTACTTTTCCCATGGACACTGTAGTGGTTTTGATGGGCTGGGACATAAGAGGTCATCCCCTGTGTGATCTTCCCCATTCCTATTACTTCCCATCCCTTCCCTTTCCTATCCATCCTTGATCCCGCTTTCTTCCCGTTTGACTTTAGGCCAATTCTATATAGCCACGTGGACATAAAATAATGTGGTGCTTATAGAACCGACTATTTTTTTTTTTACCTATCGTACAGCCCTAACCTTATTTAAAAACATTCCCATTTGTCTTTCCAGACTACGGATTTAAAAAATTTTTTTTATTTATTTATTTATTTTATTTTTTTTTTTATTTTTTTTTTTTTACAAACAAACAGATGATGTTTAACAACATATAACTTTATTATTAAACAGTTCTGGAGACATTTTGATCAGGTGTTTGTATACTGATTATATAACAGAAGATTCCAAGACAAAATTGTAACAAACTATACACAATTATGTGAAAAAAGGTAGAAAAATTACTGATAAGTGTCACTCTCCAAACACTAAAAGCAACAGACACATTACATTTGTACATTAAATAACATGAACAATTGAAGATTATGCTAGCTTCAGTGTACAGATAATCTTAATTTTAATAATGACAGGAGGCGAGTATTTTGCATATTCTTTCTTTACTAACTCCATAGCAGCAAAGAAAAAAGTGACATAACTGAGAACCAATCACAATGCAGTATAGAGTATAAGAGGTGTAACGTATGACATCATTTCCTCTTTAAAGCATGCGACATCACAAGATCACAATGCAGAAACAATAAAGATAACGTATAACATGAAAATAGAACATAAACGTATGAAGAATTCTTGACAGGGAAGAGTTCTTGGTGTCAAGTGACGAACTTCCATGACAAGATGATGATGATATCTTGAAGGAAGTCTTCAGTGTCCTGATTCATCTGGTTAAACTGAAACGAGAATGTAAAAGGGTATTAGATTCCGGAGATGGTTGTGTAAAACAACGAGATGTCTATCCCTTATGATTAAGTAACCATCATACTGCAATAGAGCGAATACATTCCACCCATCTATTGATGCTACCTAAGCCATCCCACCCATATGAAATATCTGTATTAATTGTAAGAAGACAACTTAGGCATTTAGCACAAAAACATGTGAATAAAGAGACAGAAGTATACATGAAGACAGAGGTGGGGAAGAGCGAAAGAGAGCAGGGTGGGAAAATACTCGCCTCCTGTCATTATTAAAATTAAGATTATCTGTACACTGAAGCTAGCATAATCTTCAATTTTATCACATGACAGGAGGCTTCGTATTTTGCAATTTCAACGCTGAGTAAGTAGAGCAAAAGCTGGGTTAGATGGAGGACGGAAATAGAATGTCCTAAAGGTGGATTCTCTGGTCCAGTCCGCCGCTCGTAAAATATCTGGAAGGGAGGCCCCCGCTGCGTAGGCAGAAGAGGCTGCGGCCCCTCGGACTGAGTGTGCACCAAAAGCCTGGTCTATCCCGGCGAGGGCTAATAGCCATCTAACCCATCTGGCCAACGTAGTAACAGAGACTGGAGCGTAGGGGCGGACGTAAGAGATGAGAAGTTGGCGATTGGAAGTAGGCCGCAACATCGCGGTGGCTTCCACGTATCGACGAAGAGTAGAGACCACACAGAGTTGTGGGTCTGAGGGAAAAAAGGGGTAAAAAACAGAGGAAGAGTCAGATTTCGTGCGTCTAGAGATCTGGA